CTTACTCTCTTAACTTTTTGTGGTTTGGTTTCCAAACTCATCACTCCATTGAAAACTGTTCTCTCCTAAGTGCCCAGGGATCACTTGATTTACCAGCCTTTTCTCAGGCTTCATCCTTCTGGATCTCTCTGCAGTGTCTGACACTGCTGATCCTGCCTCCTCCTGGACACTCTCTATGCCCCAGGTTCTTTCCTGGTTCTCCTCCTGCCTGCCTGACTGCTCCTTCTCAGAACCTTTTGCTGACTTATCACCCACAACATACCCCCAAACTGTGTAAGAGTCTTTTCTGGGCCCCTGTTTCTTCAGTCTTTACATTCTCCCACTTTGTGATCTCATCCACTCCCACTGAATTTAAGTACCATGGACTTAATCATTATCTCTGTCCTGATGCTTCCCAGATCTATCCAAGACTCCAGGCTACTTTGGGTATCCTTGGCTCCAGTCCCACATCCCTCTCCATTTATAAGACGCTTCAAACTGATGCCCTGTAGACATCTCAAACTCAATGTGTCCAAACCAGAACTCAAGGTTTCCCCTCCAACCTACTCTTCTTCCAAATGTCCTCACTTCTTCCAGGGGCATCCTGCCAGTCACCTAGGTTCATAACTCCAGTATCCTCCTCATCTCCTCATTGGTACTCCCCTCACATATCTAACCCTTGCCAAATCTTGGTTTTTCCCATCTCCATGTCTCTCTCGTACATCCCCTTCTCCCTACTCACCCAGTCACCACTCCATTCAGTCTCTTATCACTTCTTACCTGGACTATTGCAATAGTTTCCTCTTCCTGCTTCAAATCCTTCCACAATCCAATTCACCACCTAGACATTCTATTATCTGCATCCTGAAGTCCCTTCCAATTCTAACTTTTTACAATCAAACTAAAAAGTCTTCCCAACCTGCAGTCAATATTATCTATTATTTATGGCAGATGCCTCCCCCAAATAGATGGCTGAAATTCAGAAGAGAACTGGGCACTTACACATCCCACCTTGCCCATTCTTTGTACTTTATAATTCCCTCTTTCCCTATTAACTATGAAGAATTGATCTTAGAAAGTACATCAGATTTGGAGGAAGCTGGGAGCACAGATTGAATCCAGACCTGAAGCCCAGGAAGTAAGAAGCCTCTGCACTCAGATTTTCTGGGCAATCATTGACTGAAGGCCTGGGATGGTGGACCCACGTTTTGGCTCGTTAAGTTAATAAGCAAGCTGTCTCAGGAGATGGAAATGTTCCTTAGCTGTGGCTTTTGAGACTTTCTTAGTTGCCTGCAGGGCTAATATCTGGCAAAGTTGGATAGACGAATTGACAGAACTGCTGAGGAAATCTAGTACAAATCTCACCAAAGAGGATGAGTTTGGGGTGGGGGAAAATGTGAAAATATGATGGGAAAGGGAGGTATTGAAGGTCTGGGTACAGGTCTCAGAGCTAGAATAATTCTTTAAATATTCTTCATGTGGTACCTGAGCCAGCCTTTCCCTCTCCCCATCTCATGTGGAGGAAGATAGCTCTAAATCGTTGATGGACTATCTTTAAAGACTCTTCTGCTTCTGAGTGTGAGGGTTTCACTTCCAGCCCTGCCAAAAGAAAATCTTACCTATGACTCAGGAGTGTAGAAGTCAACCTCATTGGACCTCAGTATGTCCAATTGCTTTCACTCATGTCTAACTCTTCGTGACCCCATTTGAGCTTTTGCCATTTCCTTCTCCAGCTCATTTTACAGATGAGGAAACTGAGGCAAACAGGCTTGAGTGACTTGTCCAGGGTCACACAGCTAGTAAGTGTCTGAGGCCAGATTTGAACTCAGGAAGACTCAGCTTCCTGATTCCAGGCCGGGTACTCTGCGTACCATGGCACCACCTAGCTGGCACTGGGACCTGATTGTCCTCATGTATGAAATAAAGGTCCTCTATAGAGTACAGTGGAAAGACTGTTGGCTTTAGCATCAGAGGATCCAGGTTCAAATCTTGTCTCTGATGCCCACTAGCTGTGTGACCTTGGTCAAGTCCCTTGACTTCCCGGGGCCTCAGTTTCCTCACCTGTAAAATGAGGAAGTTAAATTAGATGGTTTCTGAAATCTCGCTGCTTCAACTCTATGGCTAAGTTGTCTGTAAAGCTCTTTCTACTTCTCACCTTCTCTGTATCATATTCTAAAGTTCCTTCCAGTATTAGGGGCTCGCCTCCAGCTCTGCCACTTAATGTTCTAAGGACCCTCCCTGTTCTGCCACTCTATGTTCTACATTCTAGGTCTGTTACATCTCTGTTATCCTATGTTCTATGATTATCTTTCCTCAAATAACCTAACATATGGAAAGTGTTTTTCAAACCTTAAAAACACAATGTAAATATCAGTTATTAGCATCATCATTATTCAGTGTACCTATGTACATACATAAATCTTGGACGTGGCAGCCAAAAAAGAAAAAACAAAACCTAATGGAGTATTTCATAGGGGGAAAGCTCCCCAGAACAGGGAGGTGACAGTCCCACCATGCTCTGCCTTCATCAGATTTCATCTGGACTATTACATCTAGTTCTGGGCACTACCTCCCACTCCATGGTAAGCTCCTTGGGGTGAGGGACTGTCTTTTGCTTATTTTTGTATCCCCATTGCTTAGCCTTGGCATGCAGTAGGTGCTTAATAAATGCTGATTAACACAAAGACATTAATAGATTGGAGAGTTTCCCAAGGAGAAGTTAATATGATGCAAGGCTCAAGTGAAGTAACTGGGCATGTTTAACTTGGACAAAAGAAGACTGAGGAGGCATTCTAGGTGTCTTCAGATATCCAAAGGGCAGCCATGTGGACAAGGGACTGCTTTTGCTCTGTCTGGCCTCAGAAGTCAGAACCAGGAACCAAGAGTGGAAGCTGAAAAGAGTCATGTTCAGGCCTGCTAATTGCTAACAGTTAGAACTGTCTCAAGGTCGATTGGACTGCCTCGAGGTATGGGGGCCCCCCTTTTTAAAAATCTTTGAGGTATGTTATGGGGACTCCTTGTGTTATAGGGGTTGACCTAGATGGCTGTTGAGGTCCCTTTCAAGTTTTCAATCCTGGGAGCTGGTGACTTTGTGATACAACCATAAGGCTTCTAGTCTGACCACTCCCCAGGAGGGCAGAGTAAAGTCTGGCAGGTGAGGCTGTTAGAGTGTTCAGTAGAATGAAAACACCCACCAGGTAGGTCATCTACTCCCTCTGGTTGAGTGATGATGGGCAGGCACCACGAAAACAATGGCAAATCTGTAAGATGCTGCATTTCAGATAAATTCCTTATCTGGGCAGGAAGGAGTTAACAGCAGGACTAGTGTTAGGTGAAAGCTGTGCCCTGGTTCTACCGGAAGATGCTCAGCAAAAAAGTCAGGTTTGCGTCACCAGGAACCCTGGAGAGCAACGTGCTGCCGAAATGCACAGCTTGAATCATTCATTGACAACTGGAGGCGAAGAAGGGAGCAGAGCGAAGAGGAAAAGGCCTGGGAAACAATGAGAAGGGGAGATGCGTTATTTTCGTCAGCAGATCCTTTGAAGGTGGAGGCGGATGGGTCAGGCAGGTGTGGAAAACATGACGTAGGACAAACAGCATGGGACTTAGGAATCAGAGCTCATGAATCTCTTGAGTCTCTGTTCTGCCACTAATTAGCTGTTCGACCCAACACAAGTAACTCATCTTCTCTGGGACTCATTTTCCTCAACTGTAAAATGAATGACCTCTAAGTTTTCTTTGGGTGTTGATATTATGGTTATAGGATTTAGAGTTGAAAGGGACCTCAGAGGTCATTTAGCACATCCTCCTCTCATTTTACAGATGAGGAAACTGAGGCCTAAGCAAAAGACTTGCTCAAGGTCATACAGGTATTTAGAGGTAGAGTGTGGATTTGAACTGAGACTCTCTGATTCCTAATCTAACAGCATTCTTTATACTAAAATAGATTATTTCAGGTTTTAGAAATCTGTGCAATCAATCAATCAGTAAGCATTTAAAGTGCTTACTACACTACATAAAGGCCTGAGGATACAAAGGAAAAGCAAAAACAGTCCCTGCCCTCAAGGAGCTTACATTCCAGTGGGGAAAATCAACATGTACTTCAATAAATATGTGTGATACATACAAGTAGCTACAAAGTAGCAATAATATCTTATTAATCAATTTTATCCTATCTCCCAAATTTAAGCTTTAAGCTCTCGAATAAAGGCCAAACTGCCTTGCTCCTCTCAAATCTAAGACTGCTGCCTGGTTACCTGGCCCTTATAACAAATATGCGTAGTCTACAAAAACAAATTTACACATGGGCCATGTCCAATAATGTATGTTTCATTATGCATTTTAAGCCGTCACATCTCTGGCAGGGTGCTTCCTCTGAAGTCCTCTGGCATCGTGGCTTTTCCTTGCACTGGTCTGAGGTCTAAAACCTAAGCATCAGTACTGGGGCTTCCCTCACCAGGGAGGTCCATCTCTCAATGAAATGCAGTACCCGTTTCTAGCCCTATACTGTAATATTTCCACAGCTGCTAGGTGGCACATTGGAGCTAATGAAAGACATGCTGAAAGGAAGACCTGAGTTTGAATCCTGCCTCAGACATTTATTAGTCATGTAACCTCAGGCATGTCACTGAATTTTTTTTTAATCAAAAAAACAGAGATAATAATAGCATCTGCCTCCCAGGGTTGTTTGAGGATCAAATAACAAAATATTTGTAAAGCCATTTGTAAACCTTTCAGGACTATCTCAAATCTAATTGTTATTGTTGTTATACAGGGTGGCCACACTATATTTATGTAGGGTTGACATTTCTATAGCCCTTTAAAGCTAACAAAATAGTTTTTTCTAAAGATTGTGTCATCTGATCTTCATAGTTTCCTAAGGGTGGAGTTATTACATATGTTACCCCCATTTTACAGATGTAGAAATTGAGGGTCAAAGAGGAGAAGTGGCTTTCAGAGGCAGAAATTGATCTCCAGTTTCCACCACTCTAAGTCTAGTATTCTATTCACTGTGTTATAAGTAGATGTCATTGCTTTTCAGAAAGGAAACAACATGGCACATGGGAGGAAGAGGGCTTGGGTCCCTGGGTCCCATCTCTGTGACTCACCGGCTCTGACTTTGGACAAGTCACTTCCCTCTCTGAGCCTGGAGTTCTTCATCTGTAGAATGAGGATAACCTATTTGGAAGGGCTGTTTGGGAGAAAGCTGCTGGTGACCCAGAAAGTGCTGAAGAAACTAAAGCCGTTTCCCACATTTGTTGCCTGAAATGGCACAACAGGAGGCTCTGTAGACCACCAGTCCACTCACTTTGCTTCCTGCAGTTACTGTCCTTATTTCCTCATTTCCTCTTGCCCACATACGGGGCCTGAAGCCTGCCAGGGGTGTTTGGGCCCCAGTGATGAGCTTTCTCTCTCACCCCACTCAGGAATAATGTGTCTGGAGGTAGCAAGGGGAAGACAGATCAGGCTGCGTCAGTTGTGGACTAGAGAGGAGGAAGCAGTTGAGGATGGGAGGAGGGTTGGTCAGGTCCCCTAGAGGCCAGGACTCTGGGGCAGCCCCAGGATTTTCTTTGACTCACATTGAAAAATAAACACATTCTTAGCAATACAATAATCCAAGACAATTCTGTAGGACTTACAATGAAAGGTACTGTCCATATCCAGAGAAAGAACTGGTAGAGCCTTTATGTGGATTAAAGATAATTTTCCTTTTCTTTATTTTTCTTGTGGTTTTTTTGGTCTATTTTCTTTCACAGAACGACTTACATGGAAATATTTTATATGACTGAATGTGTATAACTATGTCATTTTGCTTGCCTTCTCAATGAAGGGGGAGGGGAGGGAGGGAAAGAATTTAGAACTCAAAAATTTGAAAAAAAAAAGAATGTTAAAATTGTTTTTATATAAAAAAGAAAGTTATTTTTGCCAAAAGTGCCGTGATAAGGGTTGGGTTGATTTTGGACTATTTAACAAATTAAAATATCTTACGTTATCTTGAAAGAAAGAAAAAAGGAAAAAGAAAGAAAAAAAAAGCGCACAGCCCAGGAGGACTTGAGTTCAAATTTGGCCTCAGACACTTACTAGCTGTGTGACCCGGGGCAATTCACTTAACCCTGATTGCCTCCAGAAAACCCCCAAAACAACACAATATTATTCTTCTGCTTGATAGAAATGACTTGGCTGCATTACCTGCATTTCTTTTTTTATTTTATTTTTAATTTATGGAATAAAACAAGCATTTCCATAACATAGTACAATAAAAAAGATGATTGTATATGAAATTGCCAATCTGCTATGCACAACTTGCTATTCCTTTCAAATATACAACAAAATTATCATGTAAATTTCTTTTCTCTTCCTCACCCCCCCACTGCCCTAGAGATGGCTACCACAAATAGGTGTGTGTATGTGTGTATATATATATATATGTATATGTACATATATATATATATATGTTTATACACATACAACAAATTAAAATTGAATTATTAATTGAAATAAATTATTCTATACATCTCTTTATCAGTTCTTTCTCTGGATGCAGATAGTGTCTTTCTTCCTATGTCCTTTATAGTTAATCTTTTAATAGACAAATCTTATAATAGACAATAGAATAATCTTATAATAGACAAATAATACTTGTAATAGACAAAATAACTTATTCACTTAAAGTCATTCTAAAAACGATGTTGCCGTTACTGTTTACAATGTTCTTTTATTTCTACACATTTCACTCTGTTATTTCATACGAGTCTTTCCATGTTTTTCTAAGATCATTGAGCTCATCACTTCTTATAGCACCACAATATTCCATCACAATCATATACCACAACTTGTTCAGCCATTCCCCATTACCTGTCTTTCTATCTTTCTCTTCTCTCCTCCTCCCATGGACTAGACAAGGGGCTTTAGAGTGAGAGGCCTCTCCTCTGACTTCAGCCCCACATCCCCATTGGGCTCCTGGACATTTCAGACTGGACTCCTCAAAGACACTTCACACTCACAGTTGTAAAGAGCTCCTCTTCCATCCCTCCCCTCTTCCACATTTCCCTTTTTCTGCCAAAGACATCACCATTCTTCCAAGTTCCTAGGTTCATGCCCTTGTTATTATATTCAGCTCTTCCTGCTCCTCACCTCATGCAGCCAATCAGTTTCTTTCTCTCTCCCTCTCACACCCAATTCCTTCTCCCTACCCATTCAGCCACCCTCTTAGTTTGGGTCTTCATCACTGGTGGCCTGGATGATCACACCAGCCTCCTCCTTGGTCTTCCTACCTCAGGTCTCACCACTCTACTCCATCCTCAATCCTGCTAAAAGTGACTTTCCTCAAGCACAGATTTCACCATGTCACATCCCTACTTAAGAGTCTCTCTTTCCTCTAGGAAATATAAATTCTTATATTCAAAAAAAGTATATTTTCTTCTGTTTAGCTTTTAAAATCCTTCACAACCTGGCCCCAACCCATCTTTCCAGCCCCACTGGAAATTACTTCCCTCTTACACTCTGCGATCCAACTACACTAACCCATTTCCTATTTCTCATGCAGGAAAGCCTTTGCATTAGAATGTCTCCAATGCACTCCTTCCTCACCTCTGTCTTTTAGCGTCCCTCTTTTCCTTTAAAATAATGTTCAAGCATGACCTTTTACTGGAAATCTTTCCTGATCCCCTCAATGGCTAATGCCCTCACTTCTTAATTACCTTGTAGTTAGTGACTTTTGATTTATTCTCTTTCTATTTTTTCCATACATACTCTTTTAGAGTATCCCAAAAATCTTAATGTCCATAAAGCTTTACTAGCTTAAAATGCACAAAGACTTTTGAGACACCCTCTATATGCCTTTGTTGTCTCCTCCATTAGGATGAGAGCTCCTTTTGAGTAAGGATTGTCCCAATTATTGTCTTTGAATCTCCAGTGCAAAGGTGCTTATAGTACATATATAGTATGTAGTAGGTGCTAAATAAACGCTTGCTTGCTTGACCTTAGTTTGAATCTTGACTCTTCCGCTCTTGACTTTGATCAAGCTTTTGTTTATGTGTTTATCTGCAGTTACCATGTCAGAAATTAAAATTTATTAATATCATTACAAAAAGAGTTTTGATCTCATGAACCCTCTGAAAGGGTCTCAGGGCCCTGAGGGCCTTCAATCATACTTTAGGAACTGCTCCCCCAGAGGTTCTCTACAATTTTTACATTTTACCTTGGAGGCAGAAAGGAGATGATTTAGTTCACCCTCTTCATTTTGTGGACCAGATCAAATGGGGAAATCAAATGTTCAAGGTCCCACAAAAAAAATACATATCAGAGCTGGATCTTGAATCCAGATTTGTTTGACCCAGTGCTTTCTGTTAATTTGAGGAACTGTATTGAAAGTGGATGCACTGCTGTTGCCATGGTTGCAAGATTTTCTGATCGCCCACCAGACTTCATGATAGGTGATTGGCCATGACCCTACCTTGTTCAGACTGAAGCTGGCTCAGAGTCAATCTTTTTGCTTCCCTTCCCAGGCCCTGGCCACTGGCTCTGGCGAAGTCCTCCTCTCTATCAGCTACCTCCCCGCGGCCAACCGACTCCTTGTGGTTCTGATCAAGGCGAAGAATCTGCATTCCAACCAATCCAAAGACGTCCTAGGGAAGGGTGAGTGGGGCAGCATTGGCAGTGATGAGTTGTGCCTTTCTGTAGCCCCAGGGGACATGTGTGAAGAGAGCCATGAAGGGATAGGCATATAGGACAGCAGGATTTGGAGTTAGAAGACTTGAGTCTGAATACCGGTTGTACCAATTACTATGCATATGGTTTGGAGAAATTCAGTTATCTCTCAGTTTCCTCATTTGTAAAATGAAGGAGTTGGTTTAGATCAGCAGTTTTCAAACTTTTTGGTCTTAGCCAGGTGACTCAATGGATAGAGAGCTAAGCCTGGGGTCAGGAAGACCTGAATTTTAATTTAGTTTCAGACACTTAGCAGCTGTGTGACCCAAGGGAAGTCACTTACTCTGCCTCAGTTTCCTCAACTGTTAAGTGGAGATAATAATGGTGTCTACCTCCTAGGGCTGATTTGAGGATCAAGTGAGATAATATTTGTAAGCTTAGCCCAGTGCCTGGCATTTGGTAGGCACTTGATAAATATTTGTTTCCTTCCCTGCCTTCTCAGGACCCCTTTGCACTCTTATAAATCACTGAGGACTGACCCCTTCCCCTCAAAGCTTTTGTTTAGGTATTCATCTATATTTACCATTTGAGAAATTAAAACATGTTAATATTATCACAAAAAGAGTTTTGATCTCATGGACCCCTGAAAGGGTCTCAGGGGCCCTGAGGACCCTCAATTGTACCTTAAAAACTGCTGGCCCAGAGGATCTCTACATTTCCTTCCAGCTCTAAGCCTGACTTGCTACCTGTGAAGTTAATTCCCTTTCTGAGGTGGTACAGTGGATAGACTTGAGATTTGGAAGTCCTGAAAGCAAATCCTGCCCCAGATACTTGCTAGCTGTGTGACCAGGGCTAAATCACTTCGTCTTTCTCTGCCTTAGTTTCTTTGTCTGTGAGAGAGTATTAGACTTGATGATTTCTAAGATCCTATGATCCTGGGACTCTTTTTCTTCATCTATAAAATAGAAACATTCCTATCCATTTAAAATTAGTGAGGAGACTGCTAGAGTTGGAGAGAGGAAAAGCTGGATTCCTATTTTGCCGTGGAGACCTATAGCTATGGGAGCAGTTAACCTTTCTCGGCCTCATCTTCTTCATCTGTAAAATGGGTACAATAATAGTTACACTACAGGTCTCTTTCAAGGAAAATGCTTTGCAGAAGTATCATGCACAGGGTCATAGGTCTAGAGCTGAAAGAGACCACAGAGATCATCTATACCAATTCCCTCCCGTGGCCAAGAGAGGTATAACAACTGGTCCAAGGTCTTGCAGGTAGAGACAGGATTGGACTTAGATCCTGTGATTTCAGATATGATGCTCTTTCTAAGGTACCATAGATAGTGGCTAGAATGCTGGAACTGGAATCAGGAGGACCTGGCTTCAAATCCTACCTCAGAAGCAGCTGCATGACCCTGGGCAAGTCACCAAACCTCTTAGCCTCAGTTTCCTCCTTTGTAAAATGAGGGTAGTAACACCATCCACCTTGCAGGGCTATATACTAAATGAGAAAATGGGGGCAGCTAGGTGGCATAGTGGATAGACACCAGCCCTGAAGTCAGGAGGACCTGAGTTCAAATCTGGCCTCAAACCAAACCCTTGACTCTTACTAGCTCTGTCACCCTGGGCAAGTCACTTAACCCCAATTGCCTAAAAAAAACAATGAAACAAAACTAAACTAAATGAGAAAATGTTGAAGTATTACAGAAATGGAAATTATTCTTGTTTATTATTTTTATTGTTATAGGCAGGGAGTTATAGTTGTATTGAAATATACTACAGCTATGTAGGAAGCCCCTTACACATATATACACATTCCCTCTACATGCATACTCACACACATAAATATATGTATGTGTATCTGTGTACACACACACACGTATACATATATACATATACACCTGCATACACACACATGCGCACTCACAGGTGCATACAACACACAGACCCTCATCCTCTTGTAGATTACTTCACATACATTCATAAAACATGTTAAAAGCATACTTTTAAAATTTATAAATGTCTTTATTTTCTATGCCAAGAGCATTTCCTTCTCCCCATCCCACAACCCTCTCTTGTCACAAGAAAAACAAGTCTTTAAAAATGAATGACCCAGCAGTGTGTCTCCCCACCTCTGCCATGCCTAGCATCATAGTCTCCTGACCCCTGGAGTCAAGATTGGTCATTACATTGATTCTGAGTTCAGTTTCTTGTTTTGTATTGCTTTTTATTATCTATATAGCTTTCCTGGTTCTGATTTCTTCAAATTGCAACCACTTATGTAATTCCACCTATAAGAACACCCTGGTTTCCCTGCCCCTGCACACATATCTACTCTTTGGCGAATAATAATAACTAGCATTTATACAGAGCTTTACAGTTGGCAAACTACTTTACAACCCAGGAGGTAGGTGCTATTATTGTTCTTTCCATTTTACGTGTGGGGAAACTGAGACACAGAGTGATGAAATGACTTGCCCAGCATCACACAGCTAGGAAGTGTCCCAGACAGTATTTAAATTCAGGTCTTCTTGATCCCAAGTTCAGCCATCTGGCCACTATACTGGGGACACAACCATCGTCTAGCTTCAGTCTTCCCTCTCTTCAGAATTTGCCAGTTCTCCACCTTCATACCAGCTGAGTGTGTGCGATGGCAGAAGGTGTGTGGGCTAGTTGATTGAGCTTGTGGCTCAGGGAATCTGCTTCTTCGAGGGACCAGAGTGCCTCCTAAAATGGCCTCCTTTCCGGGCCCAGGACCCTGAAACTTTCCGTGCTCGATGCCAGGGCTCCCTGTATCTCTAAAAGTCTCTTCGCCATTGGTACCAGAGTGGACTCATGGGCTGATGATATGGACTTGGAAGGGCCAGGACCACAGAACTGAGAGCAGGAAGGGCCTCAGAGCCCATTAATTTCCACTCCCTTATTTTGGAAAAGGGAAAACGGAGGCCCAGGGAAAATGACTTGCCCAAGGTCACAGCTTATAAATAACAGAGCCCAGTTGAACCCAAGTTTCCTGTCTCCCAATTCACGGATTTTCCCACTAAACCACACATATGAAAAGGACAGGAATCTCTCAGTCATTGCCCTAGAATCTCTCTGAGCTCTCAGAATACAGAATCAGAGCCTGGTAGAACCTCAGAGCTAGAAGCCCTTGAGGGGCAGCCCCTTTCCCTTTGCAGTAGCTCTAATTGTTTGGAAGAAACTAAACCCCAGAGGTGATCAATCACCTGTAAGGGGCAGAATTGAGATGAGAATGCTGGTCCCATGACTCCAAGACTGGCATCTTACAACTTACCCTGGATTCTTGAGCCCCCTTTATAGCTACAAGATGGAGATACTGAGACTTGGCTTTGGAGTCCTTGAATGAATAGTACTGGATGCTTGGGAATACCAGCATCAGCCACACTGATGTAATCCCAAGCCAGGAGACAAAGTCAATTTCACCTTTTTCCTTTCCATCCCTTGCTTCTTTCTCTCTCTCTCTCTCTCTCTCTCTCCCCCCAAGATTGTAAGCTCCTTCAGGGCAGGAACTGTGTTTCTTTTATTAATTGCATCCCCAACCTTTAGCACAGTGCCTGGCACATCATAGGTGCTTAATGAATGTTTATTGGATTTTCTTTATAGCTCACTTCAGGTCAGTTCTCTCACAGCTCTTGTCTCTCAAATATCATTGGCAAAGTGAAACACTAACCACCCAGGGGTGATAATTATAGCAATAAACACTGAGTTGTAATTACTCCCACATTAGCTTCCATAACCCTGAGCTAATTGAAACTGACTCTGGCTGTTAGATTAGGTATGACAATCTATCGTGGCATAATGGGAACTGCGTTAGGGGATCCAGGATCGAATCTTTGCTGTGTGTGACCTGGGTCAAGTCCCTTCCCCACTCTGGGCTTCAGTTTTCTCATCTAGAATATGAGACAATCGGACCAGATGATCCTATAGGTCTCTTCCAACTTTAAATACTATGAATTTCTATATTGGCCATGGTCTTAAAATTCCTGGGAGAAGTTTCTGGCAGTACATACAGAATCCTTTCACCCTCAGGGTCAGGGCGTCTACTTTTGCCCCCTTCAGTGAAATTTGGGTTGGGTATGCAACATGGAACACTTGGAAGTTTGGAGCCTGAAGAGGTTGGTTTGAAGGCTGAGAGGCGAGTGGGACAGAGGGATGAAACTGGTTCTGGGGCTACAGGACCCGGGTTCAAATCCCATCTTAAATACTTCCCATCTGGGTAACCTTGGGACAGGTATTGAACTTATGAGGGCGTCAGTTTCCTCATGTGTAAAATGAGGGTGTTGGAATAGATGGCCATTGATCTGACGTCTATGATCAGGTGACTGTGGGCAAGTAACACCTTTTTTCAGTCTTTGTTTCCCTAGCTGTTAAGTGGAGGATAAGATGACCTCTCAGGGCCCTTGTAGCTTTAAATCTATGAGTGTAGAGCCAAGGCTTATGTTTGAAAAAAAACCTTTTTCAAAGAACAAGAAACAGATGAGAGGAATCCAGGCAGCCAGGCAGCCAAGAGAAGAGTCATCTCAATGGACGTGGAAGGGCATTGAAAACAAGTGAGAGGAGTTTGAACGCAGGCTATTCCCAGCCCTCATTTGTACTTGGACAGTTGCCTTCTCCCCATCCCCATCCTTAGCTCTTTCTCTCTTTTTGGTACAGAGGAACAAGGGCTGACTCAGGATTCAAATCAATGTGTGACCTTGGGCAAGGGCTTAGAAACAGTACCTGGAACATAGTAGACGCTTCACAAATGGCTATTGAGGCGAATTATTGAATTTAAGTCACTTCACTTCCTGGGCCTCAGTTTCCACATCCATAAAATTAGGGAGGTAGACTAGATTGCCTCTGAGATCCCTTCCGACTCCCAATCCATGACCTTATTGTCTCCAGTTCTTAGAGTACTCAGTTGGGAGCCCTCCCCTTCCTTTCTTAGGGAGGCCAGTGGCCTCCTGCTCTCAGGGGCTGGAGTGTTCTTCCTGGGCACCCAATAGTCTTAGCCTACTGTACCTCAGACTTCCTAAGCTCCAGCAGTCCATTGGTCTCAGCCTTTCCCAACAGCAGGAATTACAAGCGTGTGCCACCATGCCCGTCATTCATTCCAGCTTGAAATCTGTGATGCCTAAATGGAAACTACTTAAAATCCCACCAGAAGAACCTCCATACAATATTCTTAGAAATAGATGGATGAGGGGATAGGAACATACGAGGTGAAAAGTTGGATTCCTTTGCCCAATCCCCATATTCTTTGTCTCTGCCAGAAAAGAGGCTGGATCAGGTTACCCCTCAGGTTTTTCCCAGCTCCCAAATTCTAGGATTTTGTGGTTAGTTCCACTCTGTCCCCTGTTCCCTGACTATTGGCTTAGCTGGGGCCCCTGTGGCTCTCTTCTAGACCAACTGGAAGGGACAAGTATGCTGAAACTTAACAAGCCTATCTCTCTTACCCTCCCCTCCATCCTTTGCAGATGTCTCTGTCAAGGTGACCTTGAAGCATCAGGCCCTGAAACTCAAGAGGAAGCAGACAAAGCGGGCCAAGCACAAGCTGAACCCAGTGTGGAATGAGATGATCATGTTCGAGGTGCCCGATGACCTCCTGCGGGCCTCCAGCGTGGAGCTAGAGATGCTGGGCCAGGACGAGGCCGGCCAAAGCCACATGCTTGGCCGCTGTAGCCTGGGCCTGCACTCTTCAGGCACCCAGCGCAGCCACTGGGAAGAGATGCTTAAAAATCCCCGCCGGCAGATCGCCATGTGGCACCAGCTCCAGATGTAGCCCCATGAGGCCTCCACCATGATGCCAAGGCCCCTCCTCCTTGTCTCGCCCACCTTCATCCAGCCATGTCCCTGCCTTCTCCCCATTCCACTCTCAGTAGACTGAGGGCTCAGGAGACCATGGAAGATGCTTGGGAAGGCTGAGGCCCCCAAGGATCCCTGTCTCCATCAGTCAGGACATCCCTCAATGAGCATTTATTAAGCACTCACTGGGTGCTAAGGAAAAGGCCTTTGATCTCTGATCACAGAGCAGATATAAGACCTCGGTGGTCATGCTACTGAGTGCATACAGTGATTCTCTTCCTACTTGCCAAAAAGAAGGGTGAGTTATAGCCCATGTACATGAGACAGCCCACACACAGATGGGCAGACAAGCCCTGGAAAAAGGCAAAGGAAAGCTTGATCTGACAAACATTTCATTATGTTTGAAATGCCTGCTCTGGAACACCATGTTCCCTTTTATTGGGTAAATAAAAGTTTCCCTATTTTTTAATACTTAAAAGAACCCCAGAATGTCAATGGGGAAGGACTTTCAAGGTCCAATCTCCCATCCAGAATAGGCCAAAATGGCCCAGGAATAAATTCTACAGCATATCTGAGACATAGTCTTTCAAATTAATCAAGAAACATCTATTAAACACAGATCCACCTTCTGCTTGAATACATCCAGTGATGGAGAACTCAGACGCTAGGTTTGGAGTCAGAGGGCCTGGGTTTAAATCTCTTCTTAAATCTGCTTCTTAATACCTGTGTAGCCTTGGGCAAGAGAAGTGAAGACCTCTCACTTCTGTAAAATGAGATGGGTTAACTAGACTCTAATAATGGAATTATTAACTAATTAGCATTCATAACTAGACTCTAATTAACTAATCTCTAACATCCCTTCCATCTCCAAATCTATGATCCTAGTGAGGCAACCAACTATTTTTTAAAATAAATTTTATTAATTCCTTTTTGTTTTAAAATCACAGTTCTGGAAATGCCTCTCTCTCCTTTCCAGCTTTAAATCCTATGCCCCTGTGAACCAAAAATAATCTGGATTCCACTTCTGGCCCCATCACTTACTTTCCATGTTAACTACAGGCAAGTCACATCACGCCTCTGGGTCTCAGTTTTCTCATCTGTAAAATGGAGACACTAAGACTACTACCTGCCCTACTGGGTGAGGGAGCCCTTTTGTAAGGAGTAAAGTGCCACAGAATTATCAGCTACCATTATTTATTTAATTGTGTAGTCCTTGAATCAAGCTTCCCTCTGCATTTTGGCACTGTACAGAAGGGTCCACCCATTAGTGAATGGGCAGTTGCACGAGGCTTTGTGACATCCACACCAAACACAATGTCTGAGCTGAACTGATTTCTTGGTTCACATTTATAAGGAGAGTGGCCTCCGTCCAATGTGACTTATTGGCCATAATATTGGAAGACAGCTGTAGTACAGTGGGAGGTCCTGGCTCTAGAGCCAGAGGACACAGGTTCAGAAACCGCCTCTGACATTTACGACCTATGTGACTTTGGGTAAGTCCCCTCCCAGGGCCTCAGTTTCCCCATTGTAAAAACAAAGGGGTTGTCTGATACCCCTTCCAGATCTAGGAATCTCCTTTTCTAGCATAAGAATCTCCAAAGAGCTGGACACATGAAGAGAACATGCATTGTAAGATGATACAGTTGAGTGGACAGAACACCGGGCTATGAGCCCAGGGACACCTAGGTGCTATGTATTCCCTGCCTTTGATTCACTGAGGAGCACAGGGCACCTCCCTTGGTCTTTAATTTTCTTGGTTTGGCCGTATCTAAAATTAGATGAACGATACCTGAGCAGGGTGGAAGTTGTAGGTAGAAGAGATGCCCAGACAGTCTTGGGGGCCTCCTGGAGGATTTTTTTAAATGAGGAATCCACAGTGTTATTATTATTGGCTTGGTTCACTGTCTTTTCCTCCTGATTTTCTAGGAGGAAACATCAGAGAAGCTGTAGAAGTGTGCACAGCTATGGTTTCTAGATCTGAGAGGATGAGCTCAGGTACTCAGAAGTATCTGGACTTTGGAGTCCTAGTAGTCAAACACTTATCTTTCAGTGTTCTAAAAGATGAAAAAGTAGATCCCTTGCTCCAATGGGAAAGATAAAGGCTAGAACTCATAGAATATTTGTGCTTATAAAGTATGACATCAGTGCTAGAAGAGACCTTATAATCTGGAACACAGAGTGCTAAGCCAATTGGGACCTTAGAATGCAGAATATGAATGTCACAGCCAGAACATAAAAGCATAGAACATATAATGTTAGAGTGATAAGAGCCCTTAGAACACAGGATGTCAGAATTGGAAAGGACTTTAGAACATAGAATATCAGAGTTTGGAGGGGCCATAGAACATAGAAGGTCAGAGGTGAAAGGGACCTTTGAACGTAGAAGGTAAGACCTGGGAAGGACTTCAGGACATAAATTGTCAGAGGTGGGAGGGCCCTTAGAACATAGAATGTCCAAGTTGGAGGGGTCTTAGAACATAGAATACTGGAGCTGAAGGGACTTTGGAGATCATTTACTCTATCCTTTATTGAACATATAGGGAAACTGAGGCCCCAAGAAGGGGACAGACTTGCCTGAGCTTACAAAGAGAATGAGGAGCAGCATCAGGACTTGAAAGCACATCTCCTGAATCTTACCCCCTTGCTCGCTCCTGTGTGCCACATAGTAGAGAGGTCAAAATAGCGTGTCACCCCATCTGTAGATCACCCCTGACATCTCCTATTCGAATTCTACTGCTGGAACTTGGAGCCTTTGTTCCCTGCTGCAGAAGTTTCTTGGGAGCTCTCCATTTGTCTTCTGGAATGGGAACTTGATGTACCTGGTAACTGGAGGACTGGCACTGGAGAGAGAGAGAGAGCCAAGGAGCTGGAGCTGGGGAGGAGCAAAGCCAGCCTCTGAGCAGTGACCTTGGTGCAGAAGGTTGTGGAGTGAGAGTGGCCAGACTCTGTGTCTGGATTCTTTTTTGTTCCTTTAATCACAGACGTGCTTATTATTCATTCATGGCCTCTTGGCTCTGCCTCACAGGCATCTTCCCTTTCCCTCCTGTTAATAAGAGAGTGTGTGCATGATAGGGTGAAGCTGTGGGGGCAGCAGTATACATGGCAGCTCAGCCACACAGCAACCTTGACAGCAGCCCAACTAAACCATGTTCCTTGTGGCCTGGCTTGATGAATGCCATCCAGCAGGCCAGCCTGCATCCTAACTGAGCTCTGGTCCCTCCCCACTTGGATCTATTGTAGGCAGAGAGTTCCAGAGGAGTGCTTGGGTGGCTTGATTTCAAGGGTCCCAAGAGGGCTCAACTGACCCTAAAAAAGCTTCCTCCTCCTGGCTTACTTGTGACTAATATTGAAATTAGGGCTTCATTCATTTGACTTAAGGCTTTATCATCTTGTTGAAATATAAACGCAAAGGGAGGGGGTTGGACAAGATGGCTTCTGTGGTACTTTCCAACTCTAGAACTATAACCCTATGGTCTCTGATGTCTTTTTCGGGACTAATTTTATGATCCTATGGTCCTATGATCTCACTGGGAGAGGCTGTTAGTTCTTTATAGTTCAATGTAGTTGAGTTTTTCAGATCCCTTAAAGGGACCGAGTTCAGAGGAGGAAGAAAGTAGAAAGATTAGGAGGCTCCTGGGTCCTATGGAACAGAGGGGTGGGGGAAAAGGAGTGAAAGAAAGAGGAGAAAAGTGACAGGGCCCAGAAGAGGATACTGAGGACACCCAAGAGCAGTCTGTCCAAACTCACAATTTGTTTGTAGGTGCTTGTAAGGGGTGTCCCATGCCTAGTTACAAGAGGAAAGACAATTAGCTCCATTTTTGAACATATTGAATTTGAGGTGCCTATAGGACATCCTAGTCCCTTCTTTATCCATCAGAAAGGGATTCCTACTCAAATTGAGTCTTGACAGAACCCAGCTAAAGATGAAGGGGAAGAGAGGATATCACAGAAACCAGGAGACCCACAGAAGTGGGTAAAGGCAACCCCACTGCCAAGTTCAACTATAAATATGGCCTAGATTGAATTAAGCAGTAGGCTTCTGATGAGTAATTCTATTCATTACCTACCAGTCAGTCAGTCAACAAGCATTATTTAAGCTCTTACTACATGCTTGACACTGAGCTAAGTTCTGGGGATACAAAGAAAGGCAAAAACATATTCTGCCCTTAGGGAGCTCCCATTCTAATGGGGGTGATCACATATAAATTATTAAGTACATTCAAAAGACATGCAGAACAAATGGAAGGTAATCTGAAAGCAGAAGCCACTAGCAGCTTGGGGTGGGGTGGGGAGACTAGGAAAGTCCTACAGAAAGTGGGATTTGAGCTGACTGAGTCTTGAAGGAAGTCAAGTGGCCAAAAAGTGGAAGTGATGGGTGAGGGTCTCTGGCCATGGGAGACAAGCACTTCAAAAGCTCAGAGATGGGTTGGGAAGAACAGCAAGGAGGTCAGCATCACAGGGTCCCTTGGCCCAGCAGATGGAAGAAAATGAAGCATGCGAGCAGAAAGGAAGGAAGAGGCCAAGTTACAGAGAGCTTTAGCTGCTAAATCAGAAGTTCTATATTGAATCTTGGAGATCACAGGGAGACTGACAGAGTAGAGGGGTGACATTGGGCAAATCTGGGCTTTAGAAAAATCACCTTGGCAGCTAGGTGGAGGATGGATTGGAGTGGGGAAGGTCAAAGCGAGAGAGGAAAATTAGAAGGGTATTTCAGTAGTCCAGCTGAGAGGCAATGAAGGCCTGATCTAGGGTGGTGGTTGGGTGACGGGAGAGAAGTACATGCACATACATACATATATACATACATATGTGTGTATAATATGCGATATGTTATATACTATAGATGTGTGTATATGAGAGAGTGAGAGAAATATGGAGGCAGAAACAAGAAGAAATGGCAATGGATTGCATATTTGGGAGTGAGAGAGAATGAGGAGCTGAGGAAGACACCCAGGTTGTGGTCCTGGGTGATTAGGAAGTTGATGGTGCCCTCAACAGTGACAGGAAAGTTGGGAAGAGAGGAGGTGGCACGAGGGGAGAGACAATGAGCTCCATTTGTGAACACAGTGAATTTGAGGCGCCTACAAGACAGCCAGCGGAGATATCCAAAAGGCAGTTGGCGATACATGATGATAGCTCAAGAGAGACTGAGTATGGATGCGCAGGTCTTAGAATCATCTGGATGGAGGCGATAATTGAACCCATGGAATGAGAGGACCCAGGAGAGAACCCAAGGTTAATGTGTGTGTATGTGTATGTGCATGTGGGTATGTGTGTGTCTGTGTGTCTGTGTGTCTGTGTGTGTGTGTGTGTGTGTGTGAGAGAGAGAGAGAGAGAGAGAGAGAGGGAGAGAGAGAGAGAGACAGAGACAGAGACAGAGAGACAGAGAGAGAGAACGAGAGTGATATGAATGAAGAACCAGTAAATGAGACAGAGAAAGAGCAGTCAGATACGTAAGAGTAGAACCAGGAGACAGCAGTGTCGCAGAAACCCAGTGAGGAGAGAATATCCTAGGGAATGTGGCAATGGTCTCAGGTGCCACAGAGAGGTCATGAAGGATGAGGATGAAG